AGGTCACTGTTCTGTGGATAACTGACTCCGGCCACTGTTCTGTGGATACTTGTCTCCGGCCACTGTTCTAAGTATGCTTGTCTTCAGTCACTATTCTATGGATACCTGACCCCGGCCACTGTTCTGTGGATACCTGACTCCAGCCACTGTTCTGTGGATACTTGACTCTGGCCACTGTTCTGTGGATATTTGACTCCGGTCACCGTTCTGTGGATACTTGACTCTGGCCTCTGTTCTGTGGATACTTAACTCAAGTCACTGTTCTATGGATACCTGACTCCGACCACTGTTCTGTGGATAACTGACTCCAGTCACTGTTCTGTGGATACCTGACTCCGGTCACTGTTCTGTGGATACCTGACTCCGGTCACTGTTCTATGGATACCTGACTCCGACCACTGTTCTGAGGATAACTGACTCCAGTCACTGTTCTGGGGATACCTGACTCCGGGCACTGTTCTGTGGATACCTGACTCCAGCCACTGTTCTGTGGATATTTGACTCCGGTCACTGTTCTGTGGATACATGACTCCGGTCACTAATCTGTGGATACTTGACTTCGCTGTTCTGTGGATACTTGACTCTGGCCACTGTTCTGTGGGTACTTGACTCTGGCCACTGTTCTGTGGGTACTTGACTCTGGCCACTGTTCTGTGGATACCTGACTCTGGCCACTGTTCTGTGGATACTTGTCTCCGGGCACTGTTCTAAGTATACTTGTCTCCAGGCAATAGTCTGTTCTGTGGATACCTGACTCCGGCCACTGTTCTGTGGATTTCTGACTCCGGCCACTGTTCTGTGGATACTTGTCTCCTGTCACTGTTCTGTGGATACCTGACTCCGGTCACTGTTCTATGGATACCTGACTCCGGTCACTGTTCTGTGGATTCCTGACTCCAGTCACTGTTCTGTGGATACCTGACTCCAGCCACTGTTCTGTGGATATTTGACTCCGGTCACTGTTCTGTGGATACTTGACTCTGGCCTCTGTTCTGTGGAGACTTAACTCAGGTCACTGTTCTATGGATACCTGACTCCGGTCACTGTTCTGTGGATAACTGACTCCGGTCACTGTTCTGTGGATATTTGACTCTGGCCACTGTTCTGTGGATACCTGACTCTGGTCACTGTTCTATGGATACCTGACTCCGGTCACTGTTCTGTGGATTCCTGACTCCAGTCACTGTTCTGTGGATACCTGACTCCGACCACTGTTCTGTGGAGAACTGACTCCAGTCACTGTTCTGTGGATATCTGACTCCGGCCACTGTTCTGTGGATAACTGACTCCGGCCACTGTTCTGTGGATACTTGACTCCGGCCACTGTTCTGTGGATACTTGACTCTGGCCTCTGTTCTGTGGAGACTTAACTCAGGTCACTGTTCTATGGATACCTGACTCCGACCACTGTTCTGTGGAGAACTGACTCCAGTCACTGTTCTGTGGATACCTGTCTCCGGCCACTGTTCTAAGTATACTTGTCTTCAGTCACTATTCTATGGATAGCTGACTCCGGCCACTGTTCTGTGGATAACTGACTCCGGTCACTGTTCTGTGGATAACTGACTCCGGTCACTGTTCTGTGGATATTTGACTCTGGCCACTGTTCTGTGGATATTTGACTCCGGTCACTGTTCTGTGGATACTTGACTCTGGCCGCTGTTCTGTGGATACCTGACTCTGGCCACTGTTCTGTGGATACTTGTCTCCGGGCACTGTTCTAAGTATACTTGTCTCCAGTCAATATTCTGTTCTGTGGATACCTGACTCCGGCCACTGTTCTGTGGATACTTGTCTCCGGCCACTGTTCTAAGTATACTTGTCTTCAGTCACTATTCTATGGATACCTGACTCCGGCCACTGTTCTGTGGATTTCTGACTCCGGCCACTGTTCTGTGGATAATTGACTCTGGTCACTGTTCTATGGATACCTGACTCCGACCACTGTCCTGTGGATAACTGACTCCAGTCACTGTTCTGTGAATACCTGACTCCGGTCACTGTTCTGTGGATACTTGACTCTGGTCACTGTTCTGTGGATACTTGACTCTGGCCGCTGTTCTGTGGATACCTGACTCTGGCCACTGTTCTGTGGATACTTGTCTCAGGCCACTGTTCTAAGTATACTTGTCTTCAGGCACTATTCTATGGATACCTGACTCCGGCCACTGTTCTGTGGATACTTGTCTCCTGTCACTGTTCTGTGGATACCTGACTCCGGGGAATGTTCTGTGGATACCTGACTCCAGCCACTGTTCTGTGGATACTTGACTCTGGCCTCTGTTCTGTGGATACTTAACTCAGGTCACTGTGGATACTTGACTCTGGCCACTGTTCTGTGGATATTTGACTCCGGTCGCCGTTCTGTGGATACTTGACTCTGGCCTCTGTTCTGTGGATACTTAACTCAGGTCACTGTTCTATGGATACCTGACTCCGACCACTGTTCTGTGGATAACTGACTCCAGTCACTGTTCTGTGGATACCTGACTCCGGACACTGTTCTGTGGATACCTGACTCCAGTCACTGTTCTGTGGATAACTGACTCTGGTCACTGTTCTGTGGATATCTGACTTCGGCCACTGTTCTGTGGATACCTGACTCCGGCCACTGTTCTGTGGATATCTGACTCCGGCCACTGTTCTGTGGATACCTGACTCCGGTCACTGTTCTGTGGATACCTGACTCC